AAGTTTATCTTGTCTAGAATAAGACTTAAATCAGTTTACTATGTTCCTTTGAGTGCTTGTATATATCTTTAGGACCTTATAAATTACATCAAGTTTATATTTTTCATCTTCAATTTTGTTTTTTTAACTCAATTTTTTGGTTAAAATTTATTTTGGTGTATTGTCACCGTCATATTTCTATCTCTAGATGCAAATTGTGTCCATTCCTTTTGACTAGACATCATTAATATGTTTTTTTTGCTCAGTTGATATCATCTATGCATTTCACATTTGCATTTTTTTTCAAGTTTAACAGTTCTTGTTCTGCAGGGCTGACGATGCTCGTCAACCTTTGAGTCGCGTGGTGTCAATTTCTTCCTCTCACCTCACCCCTTATCGTGTTGTCATCATTCTTCGTCTCATCATTTTGGGTTTTTTCTTGCAATATCGTGCAACACATCCAGTTAAAGATGCATATCCATTGTGGCTAACATCTGTTATCTGTGAGATTTGGTTTGCCTTATCTTGGCTACTAGATCAGTTTCCAAAATGGTATCCCATAAATCGTGAGACCTACCTTGACAGGCTAGCTTTGAGGTCAGTTCGGTTACTTCACTGATGGATTATTTCTTATGTGGCTGGCAAACTACCTTGCTTTCTCTCTGTTGCCCGTGTGTGTTTGTTGTGTTTTTTTGTTATCTCACTGTTAATAGCGATTAGCTCTATTTTCTAGATATGAGCGAGATGAGGAACCATCACAACTAGCCCCTGTAGATGTTTTTGTCAGTACTGTGGATCCACTCAAAGAGCCTCCGCTTGTCACTGCAAACACCGTCTTGTCAATCCTTGCAGTGGATTATCCGGTGGACAAAGTGGCCTGCTATGTTTCAGATGATTGTTCAGCTATGTTGACTTTTGAAGCCTTCTCTGAAACTGCAGAGTTTGCAAGGAAGTGGGTGCCTTTCTGCAAGAAGCACAACATAGAGCCTAGAGCTCCTGAGTTTTATTTTGCTCAAAAGATTGATTATCTAAAGGACAAGATACAGCCATCCTTTGTCAAGGAGCGTCGAGCTATGAAGGTCAGTGTATTTCAGAGGAGTTCTCTGATTTTAAAGAACTTTACTTTCTTGATTTTTTCTGGGTGTTAGCCTAGAATTGTATTTGCTTTAACATGATGAAAATGTGGTTATATCTTGAGATTCATGAAATAGAGGAAAAATAAAAGTCTATTTGAATTGGTAAAAATATAGGAAAGAAAAAAGATTGGTAAAGCATATGATTTTTTTAAACATAGTTTTGTGCCTACTAGTAAGCTTTGCTTGAAATAGTCAACATCTTCATGTATTTTCTTCGTAGTTAAACACTGCATACATAAATATATAACCAAAGAAATCTGCAGAAGGGTTGAAGAGGGTTCCTATCCAAGTTCAAGGCTGATTTTTAGAATATGAGACCTATAAAATCTAAAGAGATGTTTCTTCCACTCACTATTTCGTATTAAACTTAAAAAATGATGTCACCTACTTTAAAATTTACCAAAATGAATTCTTCTTTCAACAGAGAGAATATGAAGAATTCAAGGTGCGGATCAATGCCCTTGTTGCCAAAGCTCAGAAAATGCCTGAAGAAGGTTGGACAATGCGGGATGGCACACCGTGGCCTGGAAACAACCCAAGAGATCATCCAGGAATGATACAGGTATTGTTCTTCAGCTGAGTTCTGACAGTGAAGTTGGTTGTGTGATTACTTACTATCATGTTTTTTTTTCTTTCTAACATCCTTTTTGTGGACCAACAGGTGTTTTTAGGTCACAGTGGAGGGCTTGATACTGATGGAAATGAACTACCTCGCCTTATCTATGTTTCTCGAGAGAAACGACCTGGCTTCCAACAACACCACAAGAAAGCTGGAGCCATGAATGCTTTGGTATGCCATTCTCAGCCCTTCAATTTCAGCACGTAACCAAAGTATTTTAGAGCATAATATTTATGTTACATATGTTCACAATGAATATTCGCCAGTTTTTCGTCAGGAATATATCCTCTTAGATTTTCAGCACTTGCAACCTCAGTTCCACTTTCTAATCTTGCCATCTTATGTTTCACAGATTCGAGTTTCAGCTGTTCTTACCAATGGAGTATATTTGTTGAATGTCGTCGATTGTGATCACTACTTCAATAACAGTAAAGCTCTTAAAGAAGCTATGTGTTTCATAATGGATCCTGCATATGGAAGAAAGACATGCTATGTGCAGTTCCCTCAACGTTTTGATGGTATTGACTTGCACTATCGATATGCTAACAGAAATATTGTGTTCTTTGATGTAAGACCCACTTAATTTGTCTTCAAGATAATGTTTCTTTCCAATTACTATTTAATGGGGAATTGTAGTTCACTTTGAACTTGTATTTTGCAGATTAACTTGAAAGGGTTAGATGGCATCCAAGGTCCAGTCTATGTGGGAACTGGTTGTTGTTTCAACAGGCAAGCACTATATGGCTACGATCCAGTTCTAACAGAAGCTGATTTAGAACCAAATATTATTGTTAAGAGTTGTTGCGGTTCAAGAAAGAAGGGAAAGAGTGGAAATAAAAAATATATTGACCAGAAAAGGGCAGCTAAGAGAACTGAATCGACCATCCCTATTTTCAATATGGAAGACATTGAAGAGGGTGTTGAAGGTGGGCATTTTTGTCAAAACTATTTCTGATTTTAATTGTTTAATCTTAAATTGATTTGATGTTCTCTACACCAGTCTGCAACCATATCGCTTTATTTTACACATGAAACTGTGGGATTCCCGCTTCTCATGGTTGCCATAAACATAAAGTTTTCATTATATTGAATTTCTCCTGCATCAATATTATTCAAGTTCACTCAGTATGCAAAGAAGTATGCTTGTGGATTCCATTTTGATTAAGTGAGCATGGAGATGAAAATTTTGTTAGAATGTGCATCCACTATGCGATTTTAATTTTATTTATTGTTTTCTGCAGGATATGATGGTGAAAGGTCTCTTCTTATGTCTCAGAAGAGCTTAGAGAAGCGGTTTGGTCAGTCCCCGGTATTTATTGCAGCTACCTTCATGGAACAAGGAGGCATTCCACCATCAACAAATCCTGCAACTCTCTTAAAAGAAGCAATCCATGTAATTAGTTGTGGATACGAGGGCAAGACTGAATGGGGCAAGGAGGTCAGTTGATGAAGTATCATGGCCTTTGCTAGTGCCTAACCCATTTTCCCTTTTTATATGCACCAACTCTTTTGATTTTTTTCTCCTGTGACCAGATTGGATGGATTTATGGTTCTGTTACAGAAGATATTTTGACTGGTTTTAAGATGCATACCCGTGGGTGGATATCAATCTATTGCATGCCTCCTCGTCCAGCATTTAAGGGATCTGCTCCTATCAATCTTTCTGATCGTTTGAACCAAGTTCTTCGATGGGCCTTGGGTTCAATTGAGATTTTGCTGAGCAGGCATTGCCCCATCTGGTATGGTTACAAAGGAAGATTGAGGCTTCTGGAGAGACTGGCATACATTAACACCATTGTTTATCCCCTTACCTCTATTCCTTTGCTTGCTTATTGTATGCTTCCAGCCTTTTGCCTTCTGACAGGAAAATTTATCATTCCCGAGGTAGGTGGTCGTTATAGCTTCACTTTCTTGCTTTAAAATGGATTTTCTGGCCCTGCAATCCTCTAAAAACTATTTTCCGATACTAATGTTCTTCCTCCAATTTTTATGCACAGATAAGCAACTATGCTAGCATGTGGTTCATTCTCCTTTTTGTCTCCATTTTTGCCACTGGAATACTAGAGCTTAGGTTGAGTGGTGTCAGTATCGAAGACTGGTGGAGAAATGAACAATTCTGGGTCATCGGTGGGACATCAGCTCATCTCTTTGCTGTTTTCCAGGGTCTTCTGAAAGTTCTTGCTGGAATAGATACCAACTTCACTGTCACTTCAAAGGCAACTGACGATGATGGCGAGTTTGCGGAGCTTTATGTTTTCAAATGGACATCGCTCCTCATTCCTCCAACCACGGTACTTATTATCAACCTGGTGGGCATCGTGGCCGGCGTATCATATGCTATAAACAGTGGTTACCAATCCTGGGGCCCTCTTTTCGGGAAGCTTTTCTTTGCAATCTGGGTGATTGCCCATTTATATCCTTTCTTGAAAGGTCTGTTGGGTCGTCAGAATCGCACCCCTACAATTGTCATCGTGTGGTCTATACTTCTTGCTTCTATCTTCTCGTTGCTGTGGGTGCGTATCGACCCCTTCACCTCGGATGCTACAAAAGCTGCTGCAAACGGTCAGTGTGGCATCAACTGTTAATTTCGCCTTCGGATCGTTGTATTCCAGTAAATGCTGTCCCTCCATCAAGTTGGCTATTTCTGTATATAACCAAAAAGAGAGAGCGATCACAACCACATATGCTCGATATAAGCTCTCGAGGAATTGATTATGTCTGAATTGATTATGTCTGATGACACAGATGGAGTCTTAGACAAAGGACCCTACATATCATTTTTTTGTTCACTTCCATTCTTCTACTACAAGTTACTGGTGGCGGTGTGTAATTTTAAAACTTCTTTTCCTTGTTTTGAATTATGTAGAGATATTATCCATATCCAATGCTATGGAAGAGACTCGTTACTGTTCTTTTCTTTTCTTGACTTGATATTTTATTTTGTTTTTTCCATTTATATGAGAATTGTAGTAAAGACTCTTTCAATCTGAAATTTAATCTCCGATACTCTTTCAAGTTTGATGATGAATTGTTGAATGGAATAGTTACTTAAATTGCTGCTTAGTACTAAATAACACCAAATTTAATCAACAGATTTATAATAGCATACATGATTTTATTTTAATTTCATATAGTGTTACTTGTAATTTGTGAAAGCAAATCAATCTATTGTTAAACCAAAATTTCATAAAATAGAAATAAAAAGATTTGGTACCGACACGTATGATTTAGCTTGAACCAATCCAAATCAATTTGTTGTACTCCCAAAATACTCGATTCCATCGAAAAGCATGGAAATCTCCGATAAAAGAGGAGTTGAATTCAAGGGTTTTTGAGTCTCTCTTCTCTCCGTTTTGTTTGTTTGTTTTATGAAACCGGAAGTGATATAAATACCTAGGGTTTTGTTTTCTGTCTCTCTGAACGACGAGAATGGTGGGAACAACAGAGGCAGTGAATTCATCAGCCTCCAACAACAAGAAGAACCGTATCCAAGTCTCCAATACCCAGAAACCCCTCTTCTTCTACGTTAATCTCGCCAAGGTTCCTTCTCTTTGTTTTTTCATTTGTTTTTTCCTTTCGGAATTCTTTTTTCTCGTTCCGTACGATTACTGCACGTTTTTTTTATCATGATGTGAAATTTTTCAAGAAAATTGGGGATTATATGAACGAAAAATGAATTAAAATATATATTTTTTCTTAGTTGTTTTGCTCCCTTTTGGCAGAGGTACATGCAGCAATACAATGAGGTGGAACTCTCAGCGCTTGGAATGGGTATTCTTTCTTCGCTCTTCTTTGCAGTTTCAGTTGCTTAGTTTACTCATTCTTGGAGTTTTTTATTCGGATGTTCTTGTCAGTATTGAAGTGGCAGTTTGCTTTGCTGCTCTTTGGATTTCTTATTAAAATGTTCTGTTTAGCTTTTGAGGGATGGGATTGTCATCTAATTTGATAGCTTCAACCCGTGTGGCTAACACATCATAGAGCTCGCAAACTGTTTTATTATTGTTACCTTTCATGGCTACTACAAAGGAACAAAATGAATGATTTGTTTTACAGAACTTTGGTTGAAATACAACACATTACCACTTGACATACAAACATGCTATGTGTATATTTATGGAATGTGATTTATGATTGCCTTGCAATTAGGCTCTTGGTTTTGAATGTTGAGGAAAACGTAACTATTTCTTTATCTTGCTTTTTTTTAACTCGCTTTCGACGCTGCCTGACAGCTATCGCTAGTGTTGTTACCATTGCTGAGATATTGAAGAACAATGGGCTGGCCATCGAGAAAAGTGGGAGTCTCACCCTTAACAAGATACCTTTTAGCTTTCATCTCATTTTGATAAACTTTGTATCTTGATATATATGCATTGTATGTCAGAAATCATGACTTCTACCATTGACATGAGAGAGGAATCAGGCGGACGACCGGTACAAAAAGCAAAAGTAAGTTGCAAGACTGTTAGACCAATTAGATATACAAGGAGGCCTCTGGTTATTGTGTAGTTGTGTGACATAAATTATATTCACCTGTTCTACTTTTGTCCATAAGACTTGCATTAATTTTCAGGATCATGATTGAACTTATCTTATTGCAATTTATTATACTGTAGATTGAAATACTGCTGGGGAAGTCAGAGAAGTTTGATGAGTTGATGGCAGCCACTGCTGAGGAAGCCTTAGATAATGAGTAAAGCTAAGCTAAGAATAAGATGCTCCCTTAATTTTAGCCGTGTCACTTTGATTGTGAGCATCTTTAACAATTCTGTTCTTGTTTGCCTGTGAGTGAAGCTTAGTCACTGTGATGAGATTTTAGGAATTTTTGTAAACTACTATTGCCGTTTATTATTCGATATTCAAATTTGTTGTCAATCCCTTTCTTCAGCTGTCACCAAGCCATCTGATTTTCAGATGTAAGTCATACCAGACGCCTTGATTCTAACGTCTAGCTCTCAAGATTCTTCTATTTCTTGCATTGCAGTTTCCCTCGAGGGAAAACTAAAGTTAAAATTACACAGTAAAAAGTTAGCGAATAACACTTCCTATACACTGGAAAACATGTTAATCACTCGCAGTAAAATAAAATGGATCAAAGGGTAATCCCACTTAAACTAGTTGCTAAAACATTTTTCAATGAACACAAAAACACCACAACCTGAACTGATCCTAAACAAAAATAGTTCAGGAGAAAAATCTTTAAAAAAAAAATAGATGGACTTAAAACGTATGTCGTCTCATTCTCGTCTAAAAGATGAGTTATTCCATTTTGACCTCAAACTCGACGCTTCATCATCACCTTGGTCAACCAATATCCTTTTGCATGCTTCATAGCACATGAAAGAAATCCCAGCAGCAGGTACAAACTTCATGCATCTTGGACCCAAACCTTTATACAGACCACGGATCCCTTCCTGTTCAAGAATGCTTGCGAGTGCATGCACCACATTCTTGTAGACCTGTCTTCAATTGAGTGCTCCAACCTGCATGTGCTTTCGGGCCTCCTCCAGCGGAATGTTGCACTACTTGAAATGGCCCCAGCTAGTGATCCAATTAAAAGAGTTTCAATATTCCCAATTTTTTCCTCTTTAGAAATTTTACGGTACACTTTCCGTAAAGTATCATATGCAAAATAATCTGTGGCGGCATACGGAATTACTCCGATGAGACTAGGAGCAAGGCCTCTGTAATGTTAAGCAGGGCTTCCTTTTGCAGTATTTTTAAGAAAGCATCAAGTATACCATCAAAAATATTATTCTTCAAAACTAACAAGTCTCAGATTTAAGTCAGAACACACTTTTACTCAGTGAATTGCAAATTCTGGAATATTTACCGCAATGGTTAATCGAGTCTTGACTAACTCAAGAGGATAATTCACCAAAGTTGAGCTGACACCAGCACAGGCCCCGGCAACTAATGATGCAGGAATTGGTATCTTTGATTCTTCTCCAGGTTTGGGTGACAACAGCTTATTCACAGAGTCAAAAGCAAATAGCTGCAGTACATGGGAAACAGGTACAACTAAAAGAACACGTCAGGAATAATTGCAACTCTCTTTAGTATGTGCTTCAATATAAATAGTGCATAGAATCATAATCTCAGAAAGATGCAGCTTAACCTTTGCGCTGCCATTTTGTTGGCCTATCAGCTTAAAATGGGAGGAAATTTCCACTAGCAATTAGTAGCATAACCAAAGATGAAAGATAGCATAGTAGTACAAAGCATGGAACTTATGGCAGCAATGTTCGCCAATAAATGATCTACAAAAAATCTTGTCCACTTCTTTCATATGTTTCAAAGTTCACGGAGAAGATTAAGAACCAAAAAGAACAATTTTGCAGAATAAGAAAAATGCATCAAAAAGCTTGTTTACAACCTTGTCATACGAAAAGAAGATTTAATAATCAGCAATAACAATAAAATAGGAATCAGAGAGTCAAATTGATGCCAACAGCCCAGAAAAATTGACCTACATGATAAAAGAAATTACGTCTTTAATAGTTTTGCAAATCTCCTTGTGAAATTTGCTTATCTTTTAGGATGAATAGAACCATAAAGAAGACCATCCTTAGTCAATTACTTATATTCTAAACCAAAACCAATTGCATATTCAACTGATTATATTCTAAACCAAAATCAATTGCGTATTCAACTAATTATATTCTAAACCAAAATCAATTGCATATTCAACTGATGATATTTAACCATAGAAGCAAGTGGCAGCAAGTAGATGTTTATCGAGATACCTTATTGAATATTCAGTCTTGTGAGTAAAAGAACGAGAAGATCCAAACAGATAACAAAAGAAACAACAGAAACAGACATTGCCGGCTGAAACTAATTAAGACAGGGAAATATCGTTCATTGAGAATTAACTGGCTTTGAAGGAGCAGAAAGGTGAAACAGTATGTGCATAGAATGTTTCATTACGAACAGACTCTTTAAGAGAGTAATGAAATATCATAGTGACCGCAACCTTTATATTTACCGTTAATTTACCACATTGCTTATCCAAAGTAAATAAAGCTTTGTTTCATTATCCAACCAACCAACCAAAAAACAATCACTTTGATCCAGTTAAGCTATCAACCTACAACTTTGGCTTATCACAAAGCTCTAAACCAAGCCAGTACCTAAGCAGCATGGCAATATCCATACCAAAAAAAAATGCCAAAACAAATTAATAGAAACACCATTTGCAATTCAGGGGTTTACTACCTCAATCGCCTTGCTAGGTGCAACTCGAATCACATTAACAAGATTTCCCCTAAACAACCTTTTCCACCCATCAGTCTGCAATATATTGTGGAACACTTTGGTTGTAGAGGTCCCACTGCTCCCAACCATCAAATGTGTCTTTATTTATCTCTAATGGCGCAACCCAAGTCCCTGAAACCGCCCCCAGCAATGCCACCGCTTATTAACCTTCTTAATGAAGGATTGGAAACCTTGATTTTCACTTTTAGGCTGACTTTCTTCTTTTTCGACGCTTCTTCGCCTTCCACCAATCCTACTACTCCAATTGGTAAATACTTCAGAAACAAATCGGAAAACGTAGGTTTGGTTCCACCGATGTCACGGGGGTTTGGGGAGTTCAGTGAAACGCCAAATTTCATTCCTAAAATGACATACAGAGAAAAACCCATCTCTCTTATCATCCAACCACTGCATTCCTCTCTTGCTCATAATTGAAAAATAAAAAAATTAAAGTTCAGAGAAAATAGTTAGGAAAAAAAGAAGAAACTTTTCATTGTTTTAAGATAAGTGAGGGTGATTGTGAAAAAAAAAGAATCGACTTTGAACAAACGGTGCGTAAAAATTCCATTTTTTCGAAAAGGGTATAAGAGAATACAAAAACTTTTAAAGAAACTAATGAGCAGCAGCGATGGAAACAAGAGAAATGAAAATTTTAGAACCCTTGAATGGATAAAACAAGAGGTGAGTAGGTGAATGAATCGGATTCTGGCAGGCAGGGGGTTTCCTCTTTCCCTTACATTTGCAAATCAACACTCAAAAAAGGAAGTACATTCAATTTTAAAAAATGGTATGGTTGCTTTGGTTTGGTGGGTAGGTCAGAGTGGGAGGGAAGACGATGTTAGGTTTTCATTGTACTTGCAAATTCCACTTATACAAACGGACTGATTCTGAAGCTGCTACCCTTTTCTGTATCTTTGGAGATCTCAGTAATTTGCAGTGTTTTGTTTTGAATATTGATTTTTACGGGGACAGTGCAATGGAATCCATTATTATTAGAATTTTATCTCTCTCATTCGCTTTGGACCTCATATATATCAGTGATATTAGCGCCAATTAAGTGCTATTACTATTATTATTATTATTATTATTATTATTATTATTATTATTATTATTATTATTATTATTATTATAATTATTATTATTATTATTATAGGTAAAATACATATGGGTACATATTATAAGTAGGGATGACAATGGGTCGGGTCGGGTTTTTAGGCCACTCGATCCGAGAAGAAAGGGTCCTTCACCCGTGATTCAATCCGATAAAATTAAGATTTCACCCGACCCGACCCGAAATAATAAAAAAATATTTTTATTTAATAAAAATATTGACTTAATTGAAAAAAATTATATATAGAGGGGTATTATTGTAATTATCCTTAAATATATATGGTAAAATTATATATATTTTTCGAGTCGGGTCGGATTTTTTCCACCCTAAACCCGACCAGAACAGTGCATTTAAAAAAACCAGACCCGAACCTGAAATTTTTAAAAAAAAATCCGACCCGATCGTGTCGGGTTCGAGTTGAGTTACCATCCCTAACTATAAGATTATTTTGTTGAATTTATCGATTATTAAGAACTATAAAATATTCATTTGATTATATGACGTTTTTTATTGAGTTTTTCGACGAATAAAAATTACAAAATGATAATTCGTTATTCATACAATTTAAATTGATTTTTTTTCGTTAAAAAAAATGATAGCAAAAGGAAAAATGTACAACTCGATAAAAATCTAACTGCAATTGGCAAGTTGCTAGCCTCAAAAGAAGAGGCGAGGAGAATCGATGGGGAACGTTTTGTTTAAGTGGTGATAAAAAGCACCAGTCCTTCTGCCCGGATGGATGGATGGATTGATGGACGGACGGATATTGTAACTACAAGTAGAATGCAAAATCAAGAATACTCTTACAGGCCTCAACCTCGGTCACCTGTGCATCCAACAGCGCTTTCCCCGAAGGATTTGAGCTAACAATTCTCATTATTGCATCAAATACAGCTTTCAGGTAGAAGTCATCTTCCATCTTCTTGAGAATTTCCTTCACCACCTTGAAATCTAAACCCCCAGCCAAAACAAGTTTCCCAATTATTTCTCCAAACTTATTTGGTGCTTTTGGTAAGTCAATGCCAACATCGTCCAACAAGGCACCATAGAGCAGGCATCCAATCCCAATGTCTCTAGCCATCAGAACTTTCTTCGTAAACAAGTACTCCAGAAGATTTGAAACTGGCTCAACACAAGGTGTGCTTTTCTCCAATGCAATCGAGATTGCTTCTTTAACAACCTCAGGGTGGTATGCAAGAGATTTTAATTCCTCCACGCATTGCAATGCTTCATCCAGCACCCTAATGCTCAAATACTCGTCCAATAGTGACCGTGTTTTTCTCAGTAGATCATCTGGATTAAATCTGGCAGCCTGAGTAGGTAGTGGAGACACAGCAGCCTGCAGAGCAGGTTTGGCAGAGAGAGAAGGTTGTGCAACAGGTTCAGCACCTAAAATCGAGATGGATGGCCTAGCAGGAGAGGTTGAACTACCCTGCAACAGGGCACTTGTCCTACTATTCACCAGGCCACCGCAACCTTGAGGTAACAACCTTGGATTCATTGGTGT